AGCAGAGCAACAGAGAGGGAAAGCAAATAATGCCTCTTCATATTTAACTAATTTAATTTTAATTTGGATTAACATTTTCCGCTTTTGTATGAAAATGCCATCGTGGAAGACATAATCTGGTCAAACTGCCTTAAAAAAAATCTAATTATAGTGAACTGAAGATGAAGGACAAGTCAACTTTCACTTAGTGAAAATGGTGCATGCAACAGTGATAGTATATAAAAAGAGAAATCAATTGCATCTCAACACTGAGTCACTTTTAGGAAAAGTTCAAATAAGTAAAAATAATTTGGAGATTACTTTTCCTCTTTTGGGGGATATTATCCTTAAAAATTATCAAAATGACAAGCTTGATGCAGTGGCACTTGTGTGCCTATAGTCCCAGCTACTCAAGAGGCTGAAGCAGGACGATCACTTGAGCTCAGGAGTTTGAGACCAGCCAGGTCGACACAGCGAGATCCTGTCTCCAAAACAAAAAATCAAAATGACAAACATTACAAACAACTCTTTTCCTTGTCATCTCTTAAAAGGATATTCAATCTCTAGGGGCTCTGTGTTCAAGTGTAAGATGAGCTGCAAAGTCATCCGTGACATGATTAGGATCGCCTCCAGGTAACGCTGCACATATTGGACAAATCTGCAATGGAAGTAAAGAAAGCAGCTTAATAAATGAATGTCAAGAAGACATCTTTCCGGACGAGTATTCTGTTGTTTCACTATTATCAAGTTTTAACCAATAAAAAACTCAGCAGATCCTGAAAACCAGTAGAAGCCTAAGCAAGAACTGTTCACACAAGGTCCCTCAGGGTCAAACACAACAGTTTCAGACACACCAAACTTGATCTCTGGCAGGGCCTTCTAACAGCCTGCCTGATTCATTAGTATGGCCTAGCAAAATAGTTTCCATTAAAGAAACTTTAAAAATATGCTATTCAGTGCACATTTATGTTTAAGTCCAGTCTTGAATGGTAAAGACAGATACAAGCCTATGGCACACTTCTCCAAAGTAAGCTATACTTGAGAGACAATTCCCAAATAAGACAGCAGAGGTCTGATTAAATGCAACTGTGCAAACATTCAACAGATATGT